ATTCCTCAAGATCATAAAGCTCAGCTTTCTGAAAATTCAGCAGTTCACTGCTCCAGATGGAGCACAAAAGGGGGAGCACTTTAAAGTTTATTGAGGAGTAAATGCGTCATTGCTGACCTAGGAAACCATACCATTTCTCAGCCCCCCCTCTTTACCCTCACAGCACTTCATGAGTTCTTGCCACAGTGAAGAATTAGTTCTCTTCTTTAGTCACTTGTATGCAGATGACAAAACGAACTCTTGTCTCGGTACCTTAGCAGCCAGGACAGGACCCACTTTGCAGTCTATTCTCAGAAAATCAGCTGGTTAATGCTATTCTACATGTACAGGTGCCTTAGTCTGCTATCACCATGACAAACCACCATAGGCTGGGGGCTTATACAACAGATTCCTCTTATAATTCTGGAGGCCAGAGTCCAAGATCAAGGTGCTGGCAAAGTAGGTATCATTCTGAGGTCTCTTCTCATTGCTTGTAGGAGGTAAGCATCTCACAGTGTGCTCAAGGTCTGCTTCTTTGAGGAAGGGCAAGAGGGAGGGAGGGAGGGAGGGAGGGCGGGAATGCAAGTACACTCTGGACTCTTCATTTATAAGAACACTGATCCCATCATAGAGGCCCCACCCTCATGACCTTATGTAACCTAGTTGCCTCCCAAAAACTCCACCATCAGATTGGAGGGTAAACCTTCAACACATGAATTTGCCAGGGGACACAATTCCGTCTATAATGATATGCGATGTGCCAAACGTTACCATGCTAGGTGCAATTCAAATTAATGTTAAAATATACATATAGAAAAGTGTCTGGGGATAAGAATACAGCTTGATGAATGTTCTCAAAAGTGAATCTACCTAGCTAACATTACTCAAGTAAAAAAAAAAAAAAATAGCATATGCCAGCACCCACAGTCCTCATGTTTCCACTTTCTGCCTCAAAGGTAAGACCTAACACCACAGATTTCTTGTGCCCCCCCCCCACTATTACATAAGTGGAATCACACAGTATGGGCTCCTCTGTGTCTTACTTCATTTGTTCAAAAGAAGCTTGTACTTGTTTTCACTGCTGCACAGAATTATGATATGAATATAGATTTAACCCTTTTAATTAATCAGCATCTTATAGGAAAATGCACCAAGATTATATAGGTATCCTGTTGTAATATTTTCATTCCCAGTTTTAGCATCCATTGATTTTGCCTGAAACCGTTTTTAAGGGAGTGGTTGAAAACTGGTTTATGTTTGTTTTTAATAGCTGCAGATTTTTTCCCTAAAAATCTAACAAGGATAATCACTACTCCTAATTGCAATCTGGAAGACCAGTGGGCATTTTCCATAAAATCTCCAAAGTCATCTTCAAAGATTAAAAGACTAAAACTGACAAACTCAAACAAAGTGTAACCCTGGAAGGGAGCAAAGGAACTCTTCTACATGTCTCTGTTAATATAGACCCCAAAACAATCCTGGTCCAGGCTGAGAAAAGATGTTTTGCATTCTCAAAGCCCCTCCTTCTAGAAGGAGCACATAAGGTCAACTGGTATGGGGACTGCGAGAGCAGGGGTTTAGTCCAACAGATCCCAAGTTGTCAGTCCCCTTCCACCCTCACTTGCCCCATCCGGGTTATGTCTTCTCTGAAGACAAAGCAGAAGGTGAACTTTGGTCTTGTGTTTTCAGGAGATTCTCACCTACCTTTCTACTCTCCCAACACTGGGACCGGCTTACCTGTAGACACCAAACCCAGAATAAAACCACCTACTGCACTAACTGGGATGCTAACATTCCATGGTTTAACTAGTGAGGCTCTTTGGGAGTGAAGTCACCAAAGTACACTGACTCAATCAGCAGGTTCAATTTTTAAGTCTCCAAAGGTCGAGCCAAGGGTTAGAAATAAAAAGAGTGGGGACAAGAGAAATAAGTTCTTCAGTTTAGCTCATAATCCAGTAACTCATAAAATAGCTGTGTGGAGGGTTATAGGGCCACAAACAGAACCTTCCCCAGAACATGACTCATACTCCATAAGACTGACTTCAGCACCAGGAAGATGACTTGCCCCAACTTATCCAGGACAATTCTACTGAATAAACCCCAAATTAGCATGCCTGAAGTGTCAGACACTGTGCTCAGCACTGGGGAATCCAGGATGGGGAAGATATGGACTCTGATCACAAGAAGCTTACAGCAGCAGAAAGGTTTTGCCATGGAATAGACCTAGGGCCACCCAGACTCCAGCAGATGGTGGATATACCAACAGAGGTATTCAGACTGGTGGACTATAAGCAGGATCGCAGGCCAAGGCTCCCTGCAAAGCTGTTCATTCAAAAGTACTGATCTACCAGTGGCGTTAGGGCAATTCAGTTTTACCTGGAAAGGAGACACATTCACCAGCTATTTCTTCCCTCTCCAACCCACAAAAAAAGACACTTTACATATCTGTACCTGTTGTTTCCAGTCTTCTACCAATCCCTCTGATCACACTCCTTGAAGACATTAGCATTTTCAAAGAAAAATGGAGAGCAGTAGAAGGGTCAAGTGTGCTAACAGGTCATCTTTTTAAGTATTCAACTATGAATCCAGCAATTACTGGACCAAAGCCACATGACTCCATCCCAACTAAGAAACTGCTGACTTTAAGAGTCCCATGGCCTTGGAATATTACTCAGCATTCAAAAAAGATAAACACATGCAATTTGCAGCAACATGGATGACGCTGGAAGGGATCATGCTCAGCGAAATAAGCCAGAAAGAAAAAGAAAAATACCGGATGGTCTCACTCATAGCAGGAATCTAGAAAACTTAAATAAGGGACCAGGAAAATGAATAACTATAAGAAAGTGAAAATCAAAATCAACAAAAAGCTATGAACCAGAGACACTTTTAGGGGGGCGGGGGCGGGAGGGGAGGGATTGGGGTCAGAATGGGGGGGCTGCAATTGTATGGGGAATATAACAATAAAATTTATAAAAAAAAAAATAAAAAAGCTAAAAAAAAAAAATAAAAAAAAAAAAGAGTCCCATGGCTTTCTTACCAGTAAGAAAGTAAAAAAAGCTGCCAGGTGGAGATGGCACCAAGGGGGCACCATCCACTGTGGGGGCAAGTTCAGCTTCAGAGCCATTCAAATGTGAACAAAGATGTGTCTTAGACTCAATTAAAAATGGTAATTCTGGGGCCTCCCTCGTGGCGCAGGGGGGGTTGGAACGCAACCTATGAAGCTGTCCGCAGCCACTGCAGCACGAGTTCGATCCCCCAGCTGGCCGGGGAACCAACCCACATGGCGCAGCAGACCTCTCCTGTCTCACCCGCTGCTCCCCTCAGCGGTGTGCTTTGGTCATTCTGCCTGTTCTGTTCCCATTTCTGTCTTTGGTGAGTCCTCTCACCCCCTATACCTCTGGCCTGTACCCCAGTTGTTGTATGCATGGATGAATAGATCTTTAAAAAAAAAACGATAATTCTGGCTAATCTGTCATGCTCCAAGTGCTTGTTTGCTAGGTGTCAAGACAGGAACTTGAAAGGGTACAGAAATGACTCCGTCAAGCCCTCCTGGCTAACAATGGGGAGACACACTCAGCATTAAGCTTTACTTCTGCTTTCTCCCTCACAAGCCCCCAACCAGCCAGGCCCAGTTCCTCCTCAATTTCCCTCATGTTCTTTCCAGGCTAAGGAATGAAACCATCTTAGAGTTGGCCCCCTGGTTCAAACACTCTCCTTTTTCTGCCATCCTGCCCAGGGACGGTGGCTCCATCTGCCCACTGAATCCCACTGCCTGGGCCAGTACCAGTGCCAATCCTGCAAAAAGGCCCAAAGCTTTTCACATTCAAGCTCCTTTCCCAACTTCCCCTACTCTCCCAAGCACTCTCTCACAGTGTGATTTTAACACATCACCAAACTTTTTTGTTCTTTTACTTCCCCAGTTACATGGAAGATAATATCATCTATCATAAAGTGTTGCCATGAGGTCAAATTATTATGGAGTCCAAAAGGCTTTGAGCCCTGATGTAAAAAGATCCAAGAGTAACTCGAATGTTACAACTGTCCTATTTTTTTTGAATACTGTTTTTTTCAAGACGTCTTATTCCTAACACCATGTTTTATGTCTGTCCTTTAAAACAAATATTTAATAGCTTAGGAATGTTAGTGAGGGCAGCTGCTCTGGTCAGCAAGGACTCAGTTTGCCATTTGAAAGATGAAATGAGATGAGTTTTACCCACTAAGAAAAGTCAAACAGTCTCCAGTGTTGTAAACTCCACATCCATCAAACTGGGCAAAGGCTGGGAACAGAAAGCCTTTCTGGGAAAGAAAACCAGCAGCTACCCTTTCTACCCAGGGGGAACATGTTTTTAAATAAATATCAAATAAACCAAAACATAAACCAATTCTCAAATTAGTTTGAAGAAAGTTCCATTCCAATAAAGCAAACCATGCCTTGGTGACTCTGCCGCCCACGAGGGTCTGGTCCCTTTGCCCAGAGACTGTCCCTGCTCCCAGAGGGGTGTGCAGTTGGGAGTCAAATGCAAGCACCCACATGCCGAAGAATCCGTGAGAGCACAAAGAAGAAGGTGGGCAGCTGTGCCAGAGCCTACCCACATCAGGCTTGGGGCAGGCTGAGTCCCAGTTGGGCCCTTTATCAACATTGTGACCAGCATGGACCCCCAGGCTCCTCAGCCTGTTTCCTTACCTTTAAACTGTGAGCGGGAGAGGCCCAAGAGGGGGCTGCCCTACCACCTGAGGGGTGTGTGTGGGGGGTGATGCCCACACCAGGCAGGCCTCCACTAAGGGCGGGGTCAGGAGGGCTAGGGGGGTGGCCGGAAGTGCAGCAGGCCTCCGGGTCCAAGCAGGTTGCCTCCAGCTGGGGGAGCTGGGGGAGCTGAGGGAGCTGAGGGAGCTGGGGGAGCTGAGGGAGCTGGTGGGCGGGGCGGTGGGAGAAGGACAAGGGCGCTGGTTTTCAGGACAGACGGTGGGGGCTGAAGGCCAGAGGACCCGGCTGGAGGGGGAGTGGTGGGGGTACCTACCTCCAGTACTGCCGGAGCTTCCCCGTGACCCCAACGTTGCACCTCGCATGCAACAGGCGTCGGGTTCTCACAGAGGGTTGGCAGCGTGCACGCGCGCCTCCCGCTGGGCGCTGGCAGCCCCTGGAGGGGGCGCTGTCCGTGAGCCAGGCCACCCTGCCCTCTCAGCAGCCCCTCCTCTTTCAGGAGCTGGGGGTCTATTGCCTGTAGCATATTAAGTCACTGAACCCACACCTGGGGACGGTGACTTCCATTTTACACAGAAGTACACTGAGGTCCCGAGGGAAAGAGCCACTTGCCAAGGGCACAGGGCAGAAGCGGCGGCGCCAAGCTTTGAACGCAGAACAAGTCTGTGGCCGCTCTACCGTGTCCGACAGCTTCAAACCTTTCCTAAGTTGAGGTGCTGCAGGCGTTCTGGGTCGAGAGCACCTCGCTCGTAACCACCCCTTACCACCGTACTTGTGTTGTGCTTTGCGAACAGATGTCTTGGGCATGTGTGCGTGCACACATGTGCTTTGGGGACCGTCAGCCCTCAGATTCCCCCTCAACAATGGTAGTTGAACCCCGACCCTGTGTCTGGCCCTGAGCTAGGTCATATACACATTATTTCTCTATCCTTAGTCGAACCTGCATCAATTAAAATCCAGACCTGCTCTTCTGGGGAACTGATTTTTAAATAGCATCACGAATAACTGATTAATGATCCTCCGGTGTGGTTCTCTAGGCAGCAGGGCAGTAGAGCTACACTGAGTCAGCCAGTGCTAGAGCTGGGACTCTGGTGAGGCCAGTCCTGAGTGATGCCCTTTCTTGGGACCAGAATATATTTATATTTTTACTTTATATTGTATTTATAGCATAAAATGTTTTATCATATATATTTACATTATGTATATTTATTTTTATGTATGTGTATACCTCTTAAAGAAACATCTCATCATATGCATTTATTTCTTTGAATATGTCTGCATGGACATGAAGGAGTGATTCTCAATCAGGGTTGATTTATCCTCTAGGGGACACATGGTAATGGCTGAAGACTTTTAAAATTTTTTTTTTATTTATGTATACAAGTACTGGAGTACAGGCCAGAGGTGCAGGGGATGAGAGGATTCACCAGAGACAGAGTGGGGAGCAGAACAGGCAGACTGACTGAAATACACTGCTGAGGGGAGCAGCGGGCAAGTCAGAAGAGTTCTGCTTGCCATGTGGGTCACCTCCCTGGCGGGCAATTGAACTAGTGCTGCAGTGGCTACAGATTGCTTCATAGTGCTGCATCTTAACCCCTTGTGCCACCAGAGAAGCCCTGAAGACATTTTTTGTTGCCACCACTGGGGAGAGCTAATGGCACAGCTGCTGAACATCCTAGAATGCACAAAGGACAGCCCCATTCCCATGTCCGACAAAGAGTTACCACTCCAAAATGTCAGTAGTGTTGAAGTTGAGAAACTGTGGCATAGGAAAAGGGGGAAAAAGATAAACATAAAACTGTTGAACATTTTCCTTACACATGTGTTGTGATAAGTTTACTTGAGCCTATGTTCTGTAAGGACCTGGGGATTCAGAGGTGAATTGAGGGGTCTCCCTGGTGGCGTAAGGGGTTAAGCACCGCACTATAAAGCAATCCACAGCCTCTACAGCACGTGTTCTATCCCCAGCCAGCCAGGGAGCAACCCACATGGCGAGGCAGATCTTTCCTGTCTCGCCCGCTGCTCCCCTCACCAGTGTATTTCAGTCAGTCTGCCTGTTCTGTTTCCCACTCTGTCTCTGGTGAATCCTCTCACTGCCCCCGGCATCTCTGGCCTGTACTCCACCTCTTGTATGCATAAATAAATAAATCTTTAAAAAAAAACAAAAACAAAGGTGAATTGAGGGTAATTCCTGATGGAGAATTTTCTACAGATATTGCATGCAGCTACAATGTACATTTATTTAGACCCCTGAAAGCTATCCTATAAAGTAAAACCTGCTAAATGAAAGTTTATTGTTTTGGGCAAAGGCAATGGAGGAGTGGGAGATTGTTCTCTAAGCCAAATTTCCCAAGGAGACATCAGGGGCAGGGATGTCTGGAAGGATGGAGGGTGGTAGAAGCCAGAGCCAGTGGGCAATGGGTGGTGATGTCCTGGAGCCCAGCCCTGACATGGGAGCTCACTGGCATAGTCAGAATAATCCCAGGGTTTCTGTGAGCTGAACAAGAACCTGCAAAAATGTCCTGACTAGGCAAGTCTATGGTGAGAGTACAAAACATGAATCAACTCTTTTTCCATTTGATAGCCTGGAATAAACCATCTAAAGGTCAAGAAGCAGGGAATTATAACAGTTCAGAACTGAATTTCTCACTGGTCTGCTGAGAGGTGGGTTTCTTGGAAAAATTTTGTGGTTAAGAAGGGGGAACTGACTGAAACATTTAGGTATGTTAAACAGGATTTTTTGCTGCAGGCCTAATCAGAGCCTTTAATACACTATAATGTGCATCTCTAAGAGGGTGGTCATCAATTGTAGGGCTTTCCTATCTTGATCCAGTCCTTTGCACCAAGAAAATCTCTTGAGACTAGGATTCCTTGGAATACACTTTGGGAAATATTAATCTAGTCTAAGCATAGTTTTACTAATGAGTAAATGGTGATCAACAGAAAAAGTGACTGAGTTGGCTTTCCACGGCATTTTTCCTGTCAAACATTTAACCAAAGGTACAAATCAACTATAAATTATTGGAGAACATTTCTGGGAGTTAAGAAAAGAAACAGTTCTCCAATTTAACTTAGGGAAGTTGCAGTACAGGTAAGGGAGATGGTAGTAACAATGGAAGCCATTCAAAGCAGAAGTTACCTTTCAAAAAGGATCAAGAAATTTTTGGACTAAGAATAGAAATCATTTTTTTTTTTTTTTGCCCTCAGGGAGCATCTATGAAGACCAGATGTGCCCCTGTGAAAGAATAGTGCTCCTTTTGAAAATATAACCTGCAAGGGAAGGTGGGACCGCCTGGGACTTCAACCCTACCCTCTACCCCCTTTTTTTTTAACCTCAAATTGATCTTTCTGGGCCAGGAAAAATCCTACAAAACGGTTTCTGTATATTCTGTTCAAGTAATAAGTTTACTTGAGCCAATGTTCTGCAAGGACCTGGGGTTTCAAAGGTGAATTGAGGGAAATTCCTGCTGGGAATTTTCTACAGATATTGCATGCTGCCAGATTGTGGTAGGGCGATGACAATGTGAACAAAGTCCTAAGGAGCCATTTGCAAAGTCGTTCAAATATCCACAGTGCCTAAGAAGCTCATAGGCAATGGGAGCTATGGAAGATGTTTTCAACAGAGGCCTGGCCACAGAACATTCTGACTCCATTTCCCATTCTTGAGCACCCTGCCCCAGCAGCCCCCCTTAATCTTCTTGGTTAATAACCTCCTGGTGTGGCCACCCCCTCACCCTACATCACCAAGAGCTCTGTCTTGGGAAAGAATCCTAAATCTACCTTATTTCCTGCCCTGTCACCTTTTTTGCCCAGCCTCAGGCCTGAACCTCAACATCTGTAATGACTTCATAACCTCAACACCACTGTAACGGGAAACTGATGTGGGTAAACTCTGCTCAAGTTTTTATAGACCTGGCCAATGCAACAAGTTCCCGACTCATGCACTTGTGTGCCTAAGTCCAGACGAACCAGCGTTATAGCTGACAAGCATAACAGTTAACGCAGTGGCCTTCAGGGGCTCACTCCTAAATTTCTTTCTTTCTTTTCTTTAATACAAGAATGGGGGCACAGGCCAGAGTTGTGGGGGATTAGAGAATTCACCAGATACAGGGCGGGGAACAGAACAGGAAGACTGACCCAACTATACTGCTGAGGGGTGCAGCGGGAGAGCCAGGAGAGGTCTGCTGCGCCTTGTGGGCTGCTCCCCGGCCGTGGATCGAACTCGTGCTACAGAGGTTGCGGTCAGCTTCACAAGCTGCGTCTCAACCCCCTGCGCCACCGGGGAGGCCCACTCCTAAATTTAAATAATTTGAAGTCCAACGTGAGCAGAACAACTTCCATCAGCAGCTTTCTGCAGACCTCCAGGCCCAAGGGGCAGGTCTGCTCCATCAGCAGCTTCCACCTTTATGAAGCACAACTAGCAGGCAGGACGCATAGGAATTCCAATGTGGCTGTCCCGTTCCTGGGACGAGGACACCGTGTCCCACGATGGCAAAATGAACTGCACCAAACCCCAATTTAAGTATAGGGCGAACGTCCGACATTGAGCAATAGAGGCCGTGACCGCCCCCACGCCTCCGGCGCCTCCGCAGAGGTAATGAGTCAGACAGGCAAGCCGCTGCCTTGCCCCGCCCTCGGCGGATCACGTGACGGGGGCACGCTCAGGCCGGGCGGAAGCGGAAGGTCGACCTCTAGGAGACGCGCCCCCGGAAGTCCCGCCCATCGCAGGAATCTGGTCCCGGAAGTGCCGCCGTTGATAGCGGGCGTGATGGCTTCAAGGTTACTTCGCGGAGCAGGAGCGCTGGTTGCGCAGGCCCTGAGGGCCCGAGGTCCCAATGGGGTCGCCGTGGTGCGCTCCATGGCGTCTGGAGGTACTTGGACCCCCGAGGCGCCAGGGACGGGCGCCGTTTCTCTCCTCGGGTGGTGCTAGGGCAGCGAAGGGGGTCCTCGGCGTCTCGGGACCTCAGTGACCGCCCCACGGTCCCGACTACCTCAGGTCCGCGGGCGTCTCCCTGTTATTCCCGGCCCACGCTTCCTGTCCCCGACCTAACTGACCTCGCTGCGAAAGACTCCTTAAGGGGGGTACTGGGTGACCTTGGGGGCCTGGGGCTGCATCTGCAGTGCACAGGTGCTAAGCCCAGCTCATGTGGGATGAACCCCGCTGAGACCCAGATTGACCTGATTTTAGGGGGAAAAAAAAATGTGTCGACAAACAGGCTTGATAGTGGAAGAAAGAAGACTCCTGTGCTACTAACACCTTTTAGGGATCATGACCGTGGTCCTCAGGGTCAGCGGTTAGGGGTAGCAATTAGGAACTTGTGAGCCCATTAAAACTGCAGGAATTTACGCTCATCTTCTACTTTGGTCGCTTC